GCCACACTCAAGAGTACATCGACGGCCTGCCCAGCTGGAGATACCTCCCAGCGGATGTGGGCGGGGCTTACGGCGACGTTCTCTTCCTGGGCGAGGACGGGCAGATGTACGTGCAGGCCGGGGGTGTTCCCAACAGCGCCAACAGCCGCTTCTACCCTTACGAGGGCAGCTACATGTACTACCCGGGCTACCCGTACTACAACGAAGACCAACTGGACGCAATATACGGCACACACCAGGAAAAATCGTCTGGCGTCAGTTCTTCTGATGATGAAGTTGCATATCTCACCGGCAAACAAAGTTCTCCTAACGACCCAACTCCCAAGTCTAAGTCGTCAAAAGTGTACCCTTTAACCCGGAGGGAGAGAGAAAACTTTTCTCTTAGTAAACGAGACTTCAAAGAACCTGTACCTATATATAGCCAACGTCGGAATCGGACCGGTTCTCCGAGAAACCATGAGCGATTCCGCCCCCACCGATCCCGACTCCGGAAACCCGGGAGAAGGGAGAGTCTGGACGACAGCGACGAGGCCGATGCCGATGACGAAGTGAACGTTGGCCGAGTCGACCTATCAAATGCTCCCAGACCTCAGCTGCGGCAGAAGAAACCTAACGTGTTTTCTGGAGATGCCAAAGACCCGACTGCCATCAACGTCTCCACAACAGAAAGGCCGCTGGAAGAAGCAGGTCCTCCCAGAGAAGCGCCCGCCCCGCCGCCTGGTGGAGAAAGTTCCCAACAAGCGCTGTTCCCCGGCTCCCCTTACGCTTCCCACGCCCTGCACGCCTCGCACGCCTCGCACGCCCCGCACGCCCCCCACGACCCCAACGCCCCCAACCCCTACAGCGGCTTCCCGACCTCCCTAACCCCTGGCCATATTGACCACCTGTTGAAGAACCCGGCCCTGGAGATGGCTACCATGAGGAACTATCTGCAGGCTATGAGCCAGTCGTTCGCCAACTTCCCCCAGTCGTCCATGAGCTTTCACCCGTACACCTCACAGCAGCCGACCGGCCCGCTAGGTTCTGATTCGTTAGACAAAGTGGAAGCTCAGGGGTTCTTCCAGGAGAAACCCAAACCCAACATGGCGCCTCCCTCGGCAGACATGTCCGCCTCAGCTCCTGAAGGGATGTACGCTTCTCCCGAGGCGAGAGCCACCACCATCACGGACTACGTGGACCACGCTGACAGGAAGAGGGTCACCAATGTCAAGGACGTGTTGAACAGACACGAGGCGAACGAACTCCCTCATAGACCAGACCACAACACAAGCGGTTTTCCCATGGATGACATTTTCACTGGAAAAGACCCCTTTTCTCCACAGAGCCCGTCTGAAAGCGACGGTTTCGGGTATACAGGACACATGGGGCAGCAGTCGCGAGCGGCGGGTTTAGAGCGAGGGGTGTCCTACGATCTGTCGGATATCATAGACATGGGGCCCGTCGTGAGTTCTGGGGCAAAGCGGTGGACGGCGGAGAGTAACGGTCACCAAAAAGTTATGATGAACCGACAGACGTCCACTGGCGCCAGCTTCAAACGTGAGCCCATCAGAGCGGAGGGACACCAAACCCGGAGCAGCGCTGTGCAAACAGACGTCAGCAAAGTTGTGTATCCTCCTGTCAGCTCTCCCCCGTCCCCGCCTCCATTGTCCTCCGCCTTCAGCTATCACAAGACGCCACAGGCTGGGAATGCCCCCAACACAAGCGCTCGTTCACCGACCAGGTTCCAATATCTCCGCTCAGTTTCCCGGGACACGCAGACACAGACAGAGAAACCTCCCCCGCCTCCTCCTTTGCCAAAGCCGAAATGGTTTCTGGATAGAAAAATCAGCCACGAGCCGTTTCCCCCTCTAGTCATCGCTCACAACAGTCCTCTGTCTCCGACACACGCACCTCCTGAAGGATTCGAACAGCCGCCGGACAGCAAAGGTGAGCCGCCTCTTCCTCAACGACTTGGCTCCAACTTCTTTGCCGTGTCAGATCTGACGGTTATGAACTCCCCCGAACTCCCGAACGGTGGTGACGAATCATCGAAGAGCTTTCCGAGGAGTGGTGTCAAAGATCGCATTCTCAGACTGAATTCTCTGACAGAGACGAGCACTGACCGGTACAGCGTCACTCAGGTGGGCTCCCCTCCAGACTTTGACCAGACAATCCCGCCCCACCCTGACGCTGACTACGATGTCTACCCGCCCAGGAGACCGAGAACTGACCACCACGAGACGTCAGCCTACAGCCCTGTCCCTCACTCTCACGACCAAACTTCTGGTCTGATCCAACCACCACAGGAAATGGCTTTGTCACCTTCGCGTTTATCAGGCCCTGATGGTTTGGGTATGACTCATCATTCGCTGCCTCGCGAGTCAGCAGCCGGGGCTATTTCTCCCAGATATCTCGCCGGCCAGACCTCTCACAGCCCCAGGGAAACAACCTTCTCGTCCCCGGCACCCACAGGGCATGGCTCCAGCCCCACGTCTGCTAAGGTTTATAGTGGACAAAAATCGAAGTCCCCACCTCCCGTGTCCCCCAGACCCCTGTCCGTGCACGGAGACCGACAGCGAGGCTTGACCGTAGGTCAGTATCCCGCCTTCCCCTCCTCCTCTGGCCCACAATCCCCTTGGTCGTATGGAGTTCCGTCTTTGCTATCGCCAACAAAACTGAAAAGCCCGACAACTTCTGAGACTCGTCGGCCGCACTCAATGATTTTATCGTCAACGACACCGCAGTCTCAGTCATTTTCAGCAGAGAATGGGGTTCAAGATGAAACGAGCACAGACTTTCGAGACGCCAAGTTTCAGTTTTACAAAGGAGATCCCCGTCTTCTTGGAAAACCTCAACTTCAGAACCCAAAGCCATCTCCTTCCTCACCCCGGCCTGCTCTCTCAGAGAAAGGCGACGGTCGATCTCAGAGAGTTAGTGAACTAGTTAGTGAGGGTACGTTTCCTACAGAAGAGGGGGAGACCTTCAAGGTGTATCGGGGACCCGGGAAGGAACTTCTGCAGTTCTCCGATCCCAAACGACCATCTTCTGTGGTTAATGGAGTCGTGGGCTCTCCCAAACCCGTGCGCCCCTTCGCAGCGCCACTTGTGGAGAAGAAAGTAGCCGCACAGTGCATCATGGTGCCTCAACCGGAAGTTTTGGCCAAACGTCCGAGCCAGGGCATTCCGATACCGCCCCGAGACTTCGAGAACGATGCCGATACAGGTCCGTCCGAATACAAGTACACGTCTCGTGGCTGGTCGCAGGTCGATACCTCTCGTGTCGTCATGTGTCTGACACAGGTCAAGGACGACAGCGCCCGCCATTTTGAGCAAATTTATTCATCTAGAGCTTCCAAAGAGAAGATTCAGAAGGAATCAAACCTGGATACATTCTTTGACAGCTGTCTGCCCAAGTACAAAAACGTGTATCGATTCCTTGAGTTTGGTGGATCCGCTAGGGGAAAGGATATAGACGCTGTTTCGATCTCGGGAAAAGTGTCCGTCTGTAGCTCGATCTTCGACTTCGATTACTTTCTGGATTCCCGTTTCTCGGGTCTGGATAAAGAGACCAAAAGTTGTACGGAGTTCAGAAATGAGTTCCCTGCTCTAAATGACGCGAATGACGTAGATTCCGGTGTCTCACTCCGCTGCTCTAGTTCCGTCAACTTTCCCGCGGTCGGGCCGGATGGAGCAGGCGATAACATGTCCCTGCCAGGGGAAGACTACTCTAGTGTGACCTCTGAACTGTCTTACTCCAGTGGCAGGCTGGGCTGGGATTATCTCTCTTGTAACGAAGACGAGCAGCGGAAGAGGTTGGGACGAGAGCTGGTTCGTCGGTCCCAGGAAGTAAGTTCTGACAGTCCACTCGGTGTTTTTTCTCCAATTTTCACCTTCACCTTCACCTTCATACATCCCGTAGTCTGGCAGACCGTTGGAACACCATTCTGTAGATTTTACAACCAGCTCTATCCATCCCTGTAATCTGGCTTACCGTTGAAGCACCGTTGTAGATTTTTTCAACCAGCTTGTTCCAACCATCGCGGTATTCAGCTTTCCGTAGTAAGCTGTTTCAATCACGACCACATCACTGTTTGATGGACTCTTCCCGTCGTTTCCTGCGTGTGTGTGTGTGTGCATGTTTTTTTTTTTGTGTGTGTGTGTGTGTGTGTGTGTGTGTGTGTGTGTGTGTGTG